TGTGACTGATGGAAGCAGAGGCAAACACACAATTAATCACTGAACTGAACCCAAGGAACCCAGTGACAGAGAGAGAAGAGTGATGAGCAAATTGGCAAAGAATGGGGTGGCAAAACCAGCAGAGACAGCTGATCTGAACAGGGGAGAGCTCTTGGACCCCAGACCGACAGTGGGGAGGCCAGCATGGGACTGATCTGGACCCCCCAAATGTGAGTGTCAGCGAGAAGGCCTGGGCAACCTATGGGGCCCTGGGCAGTGGATCAGTGTCTATCCCTGGAATACAAACAGTCATCGTGTGCCATATGCTTCTTAGCATTACCTCCTTTCTGCACAGCTTGCAGGGAACTATGTGAAACTGTGGAAGGCTGCATTGGTGTGGAGCATCCGTCCTGTGGAAGACAATGTGTTCTGACAACCGAGAGGCAAATGATACATGAACTCTCTTCATCAGGCACAGGGTTTATGACAAGATGTAGACCAGCGGCTCTCAAACTTCCCAACGCTTTGACCCTTCAACAAAGACCCTGGTGTTGTGGCGACCCCAACTATAAAAGCATTTCTTTGCTACTTCATAACTGTCATTTTGCTACTTCTGTGAATCATAATGTAAGTATCTGATATGCAACCCCCGAAGAGGTCGAGACCCACAGTCTGAGAACCACTGATGTGGACCGTGCCCTGGGTCCTTCTTGAGAAAGTCTTGTTGCTAAGGGAAAACCAACCACAGAAGCTAGTTGCATTCAGTGATGGATTAAGAACTTGAGAATTACATAAAGGGAAAGGCATTAAAGGGGAATATGCTCCTGTTATGTGTAATGCGGAAATGGAGCATAATAATGTCTCATCGCATGCTGAGGTCCAGCAGCTGTTGGGGAAATAACTCTGTCAGAAATAAAATGGGGGAAAAATTCATGTTTCTGTAAGATAAGAAATCAGTTTGGTTCAGTGTTTAAAGATATGAACTCAGCATCCATTCTTATAAATCCATTTGCCTGATACCTTAGAGATGTGCATGGGTGTGTGACTGTGCATGTGTTTGTGTATGGGGGTGTGTACATCTTTGAGGGGGTGTGTGCACTTACATGGGGGGCCAGAAGACAACGTCTAGACACCTTTTTTTTCTTTTGAGAAAATGTCTCTGACTGGCCTAGAGCCCAACATGTAGGCTAGAATTACTGGCAAGTCCCAGAGATTTCCTGTCTCTGCCTCCTCAGTATTGGGGCTACAAGCACATATTGTTAAGTCTGTGGGGTCTTTGTTTATTTTCTTGCTTGCTTTCTGAAACAGGGTCTCATGGTGTAGCTCTGGCTGGCCTGGAATTCACTATGGAGACTAGGCTGGCCTTGAACTCACAGAGACCCACCTGCCTCTGCCTCCACAACACTGCTAACTAAAGGCAGGAGCCACCACAGCCTGGCTTGTTTTGGTTTGTTTTGCTCTTTTCTTGTCCTGGGGAACTCAGGTCCTCATGCTTCAGAGCAAGTACAAACAGAGCTGTCACAGTTCCTCAGGGCCAGGCGTTTGTAACGATCTTAAAACTACAAAAGGAAGGAATAAAACAAAAATTAAAAGATAAACTCTGCAGATTTTTATGACACATCTCATTAACTATCAAAATGTAGGTGATGGCATCCTAAAGGTAGCACACATGAATATCTATGGGTTTTTATTTTATTTTTCTTCAAGAGGTTAATGGATCGAAAGATGACTCAGCAGGTCAAGGTACCCACAGTCAACCCTGATGCCCTGAGTTTCATGTTTGGGACCCACATGGTAGGAGAAAATTGACTCCTGAAAATTATCCTATGCCCCCCCACACACAGAGTATATGTAATTTTTTTAAGTTAAAAAGATAGCCAGGAATGGTGACACAGGTCAACCTTTAATCTCAGCATTCAGGAGGCAGAGGCAGGCAGATCTCTGTGAGTTCCAGACCAACATGGTCTACATAGCAATTCCAGGCCAGTCAAGGCTGTATAGTGAGACCCTATCTCAATAAATAAATGAAAGACAATGTATGCACAATAAATCTATGGCTATGAAATCTGTTTCCCTCATTAAAAGATACAGAAAATTTAGGTGCAGTTTGCAGGCTACATTTTTGGAAGTAGTGGTTATCAAGATGAATTTTGAAACAGAAAGTTTCATTTCATGTTGGTGCTATGACTCCGACTCTGAGGTCTCTCTTTCACGCTCCCCTCCAACACGCCCCTCTCTGTGAGGCTGGTCTCTGCCTATGAGAGGCTTGAGGCAGGAGAGTCCCGCGCAGGGCCCTTCAGCCAGCAGTGCTGTTACTCTAACTGGAATGGACAGTTTGGTAAGCAGAAGCTCATTGGTCTCTCTGGAAACCTTAACGTTGATAGGTGTGGTTTTTGTTAGACGGAGGAGAGACATTTAACATGGGACTCACAGCCTTACTCAGCCTCCCCAGGGATTGTGGGACACAGAGTAGCGGCTGAAACTATGGCTCTCACATTCACTCTGGCATCAGGGAAAATCGCCTGCTCAGAGCTTTCTTTTGCTCTTCCCTTTGGGTGTGTTTGTTCTGATTCGACTTGTTAGGCCTTGTTGGGCCTGGGGATGGAGGCTTGCAGTTCCAGCTATGGGGGTGGGGCGGGGGAGGTGGTTTGGATGGATGACAAGCTCAAGGCCTGGCTGAGTTACAGGGTAAATCCAAGGCTGCCGAGGTGACTCGGTGTGACCCTGTCTCAAAATAAAAAGTAACGAGAGACTGAGGAACAGCCTAGCAGGAGAACGCTCATTTAGCATTCATAAAGCCCTGGCTTCAGTTCCTAGCTTGTGTATAGTTTTATGTGTCATTGAATTCAGTGAGACATTTGGACTTACATCTTCCATGAGCAACTTGTTATTGGACTGGATAGTATCCACCTGACAACTGAAAGTTTAAGAAAACAAGCCTCGGGCCAGATGGACGAGATACTCCACGGTTACAAAACCACCAGAGGCCATAGCAGCTGCCGCGAACTCCACTTTTCGTGTGCGTGAGTGTGCGTGTGTGTGTGTGTGTGTGCGCGCGCGCGCGCGCGCGTGTGTGCCCACGTGTGCTTCTCTCCCCCGCGTGTATGTCCATGTTTGTATTTATGGCTGCTTGCGTGCATGCATGTGTGTGTGTGTGCATGTGTGTGTGTGCATGTGTGTGTGCCCATATTTGTGTTTGTGGCTATGTGGATGTGGGTTGGTATGCTTGTGGCTGTGGCTATCTGTGCGTGCTTGTGTGTGTGTGTGTGTGTGTGTGTGTGTGTTGTGTCCATGTGTGTGCATGTGCATGGAGGCCAGAGGACAACCTCAGGGGCTGTCCACTTTTTAATTTTTTTATTTGCAACAAGATCTCTTGCTGGCTCAGAGTGCTCCCAGGAGGCTAGTCTGACATGTCTCCAAGCCCCAGGAATCTGTCTGTCTCTGCCTCCCCAGTGTTAGATTACCAGCTTCTCCTTCTCCTTCTTCCTACTATTACTATTATTGGCATTGTTGTTGTTCATGTGGGCTCTAGGGATGGAACTCTGGCATTCATGTCTACAAAACAGCACTTTACTGTGCAAACTCTATCCTTCAACATTCTTTCCACTGCTCTCTACCTGATTTTTTTTTTTTTTGGTGAGTCTTTTAAAGCAAGTCTCAGACACCTTGTAATTTTACATTCAGAGAATCCTATGCATAACTCTAAACACAGTAACTGAAAAGCATAACTCCAATACTACCACTTTCAATGAAATAAAGGATTCTTAATAGTATCTAACACTTGGAATGTATTCATTCTTCTCTGATCATCCCAAGCATGTTTTTGCAATGATTCAAATTGACTTGTTCAAGACGGACGCAAACAGAGCCACAAGGAACAAGAAGCTGGCCTGTTTCGGATCTCCTTCAATGGAGCAGTTCCTGTGTTATTGCCTTGCTTTCTTGTTGTTATTTTGGGTTATTGGCGACAAGCTCTCATGTAGACACTGCTGCCTAGAGCTCACCACACAGTCAAGGCTGGTCTTGAACTCCTGGTCCTCCTGCTTCAGCCTCCTGAGTGCTGGGATTATGTACCACCACACCTGGCTCCCCTCTCTTCTTGTGTGTGTGTGTGGGGGGGTGCTTGTGTACATGTAGCGTATGTGCACTGTGGGTGAACAGCCTGTGTACATGCAGAGGGCAGAGGAGACACTGGGTGCCTCCTCATTCATGCTCATCCTTATTCTTTTGAGGTGAGGTCTCTCCCTGGACCTGGAGCTTGCGTGTTTTGACCAGGCTGCCAACCAGGAAGCCTCAGTGCTGAGGCTACAGACTTGTGTGGGACCACACCCTGATGAACGTAGGTGCTGGGTCCAAACTGGTCCTTCTGCCTGGCAGCAAATGCTCTTAGCCACTCAGCCATCTCTCAAGCCTCCCATCTTCTTTGGTTTTCAAAGTCGTGTAGGTAAAGAAATGGACCCACTTGTCCTGCAAAAGCATTTGCATCTCTAGATTTGGACTATGACTTCCTGGAACTAAGTTGTTGAGCTAGCCTTCGATCCCAGGTAGCTCCTACCTTCCTGGAGTTGGTGAGAGGATTTATTAGACTCAGATGTGCAGTATGTGAGCATGTGTGTGTGCACATGTATGAATGTCTGTGTTTGTCTGTCTCCACCTGTGCACATGTGTTAGAGTGTGTGTGTGCGTGTAATGTATCCAGCGCATGTGTATGTGTGCACATGTGCATATGTGTATGTGTTTATGTGTGTGTGTCCATGTGTGTATGTGTTTAAGTGTGATTGCTTTTATATATGTCCATGTGTGTTGTGTGCATGTTTGTGTTTGTGCACATGTGTATGTCTTTGTGTGTGAATGTGTGTATATGTGTGTATACTGTGTGCATACATGTGTGCACATGTATATGTGTGTACATGTGTATGTGTGTTTGTGTGTCTATGCATATTCCTAGGTGTGCATGTGTTCACATATGCAGAATTATCTCCCAGGTGGTTCTGTGTGCTCGCAAAGCATTAGCCCAAGTGCCATGACCCAGTTGCTCACTTTTATTGATACCAACGCTGTCCCACGGGAGATCCGCTCCAATGGGCCCATTATAGCGTCTTCCACTGACTTTTACATAGTGGTTGGCAACCATTAATTACTGCTGCTCGGATCTTTGTCTCAGTGGGATTTTCCAAATGGTGATTTCTTTTGTTGCTTCTTCATTTGTTAGCTTGAGTGGTTTTCTGTAGAGGAGCATTCTCTCTTGGTTGGGTATCTTGACACAGTCTATAAAGAAAAGCAGGACAAACACTTAATTCTTCCTTTCCTTTTTATCAATTTCCAGAATAATAACTTTGTGTCCTAGCGATCTCCCAAGGTGACCAATTAAATTTTGTTTTGTTTTGGATTTTTTAGACAATCAATATGAGCTCACAGATTTTAATGTATTTGATGTATTTCAAAACAGCCGTCATTATTCAGATGGTCTTATCTCTGGTGCTGGGAGCTCTTCAGGCTCGCTCCTGGGGCTTTCTTTTGTGGTGGCTGTGCTTGAGTGTGCCTTGTTTTCAGCCCGATGAGGGGTCTCGGGCTCCTCCTATGCACCTTCAACCCCAGACAGGAAACCTATAGGGTTTCTGATTCACTGGGCCACACGACTGTGTTTTCCAGGCCTGGTTTCTTTAAGCCCATTTCTCCCAGTCTGGAAGAAGTCACTGGGAACAGAATACATTGGTATTTGAGGCAACATCCTCAGCGAGTTCTTGAGAAAACCTGAATCTCTTGATTCAACATCCAGAAACATCACTTGCACCATCACTGAAGCTTTAACTGACCTCATTCATTCATTGATTCATTTCTTCCTTGGACAGGTATTTCATGAATGCCCATCACAGCTGTTGTTTAAGGCCTCACTATGGCAACAGTTCAAACAGACCTGGTCCCCGCTGCCATGGGCACGCTGCTCTAACAGGGGAAACACAACAAACAGGAACACCCAGGGGACTGAGTGCTGCTTTTCTCTACAGAGTGGCCTCTTAAGTTTTGCAGCAGAGACAGGAAGGAGGCGAGGACGGATGCTAGGCAGAAGGCTCTTGGGAAAGCCTTGGGCCACAGGGAACCACCCAGGGCTCCCATTTGGGCGTGAGTGGGTGTGAGCTGGATGTGATTCTTAACACCAGAGGGGCTGACAAATTCCTCACTCTCCAAGGTCTGAGCACTTGCTATAAATTGTGAAATGTTTTTATCACAGTGACATTTCACAGGTTTCTGGCTGGCCTTTCACTGGTGATGTCCCTGTGGTGATTTTTGTCATTGCAAGGTACTCCATCATCTCCTCTTAACGTCACAGTCCTAAAATCTACTTCTCTAATTCCAGTCATTATGGGAGACAGCAGACCTTGCAGACAATGGGGAGGGTGGGGTAGGAGTGGAGAGGGAGGGAGGGAGGGGAGGGGAGGGAGAATTAAGACAAAGCAGACTCCATCACTCACCCTCCACTCAGAATTAGCCCCTATCAATACGATACTTTGTGTCCCCATGTTCCCTTTATAACAGCGTAATCTAGCTGTGGGTTCGAGACCCTGCCTTCCCACTTTCCTGCCTTCTGTGTTGTAGAGATCCCTAGACCCACCTGTCAGTACCTGAGCTCTTGCTGTGACTTATTCCTGTTGGCCAAATCACTGCTTCCGGCCCAGAGTGCAGTCCCAGTGTGTCCTGTGTTCCCTCCCTCTCTCAAGGCAATATGTCTGTCACAAGTCCTTCTGACTGCACACAGCCAACATTCCCGCCTCCTGGCCAGATGAAGTGGCAAGAGCCTGACCCTACAACTGTCACTTCTGCTTCCTGATGAAGAGAGACCCTGTAGAGTGGGCGGGGCGGCGAGCCAAGAAGTATATCAAAGGTAACTGTAGTGATAGAATCAAATCAACTATTCTTTTCTAAAGATTTCTTTTTTGGAATATCGTTTATGTATTTTTGTGCTGAACGTTGTCTGTGCACCACGTGACTGGTGCCCACGGAGGTCAAGGGAGGGCGCTGGTCCCTGGAATTGGAGTTAAAGACTATCGTGAGCTGCCCTGTGGGTGCTGGGATCCTGCCAGAGTCCCCTGAAGGACAGCCAGTGCTCTTAGCCATCAAGGCCTCTCTCCAGTCGCTTATGATTTGTGTATGTGAACTGGCTGGGCTTGCGCATGTGAGTGTGGGTGCCCATGGAGGCCAGAGAGGGCGCTGGATCCCCTGAGGTTGGAGTTGCAGCTGGTTGTGAACCACCAGACCTGAATGCTGAACCTGGACTCAGGTCCTTTGAAAGAGCAGTGGATACTGTTAACTGCTGAGCTGTCTCTCCAGCCCCTAAACAATTCTTCTTAAATGAGAGAATCTGTTAAAGGGAGTTCAGGTGCTTTCACTTACTGGATTTTCTCGAATCCCCCAGAGGCCACTTGGTGTCACCACAGACATCTGTTTACTTGGTGAGTTTTGTTTCTACTCCTCTGAACATGTATATTTGTATATGAAATGTCCTTTGCACATTTAGACCTGTGTGGTAACCAGCAAAGTCCCCTTGGGTGTGAGAAGGCAGAGGCTATGTGCTTAGAGGTTCAGCAAGACAGTCATCCACCGCCATCGTGACCTGCTGACAGAAACCCAAGGATAGGCAGGGAAAAAACAGGCACACTTTAGAGGAAAGAGGAGGCTTCCTGTGTGCTGACTGGAAGCTGCTGGCATGACCTGGCTTTGAGTGTGTTTGAGGAATTCATCCAGAAGCTGCTTGGAGCTGAAGCTGGACAGAGATGAAGAACAAATCTTGCCCTTGTGATCTGCAAGTCCCTGAGTGGGATACAAGTGTTACAGTCAAGTTCACGGGGCAGTCAGAGGAAGCTCCTGGAGCAGGGGACCCTGTTATGTGGCAAATTCCTCTGAACATCAACATTGCATCCCGGAGAGAGGTCTGTGATGGGGTTGTCCTTCCGTGTATATGTTTCTCTTATTGGTTGATGAATAAAACACCTAAGTGGCCAGGCAGGAAGGATAGGTGGGACTACCAGAGGAGGAGAATTCTGGGAAGTGTAGGTAGAGGAGTCGCGATGTAAGTCCAGGAAGAGAGGATGCATCAGGAGTTCTCCATTAAGCCAAGACCATGTGGAAACACATAGATTAATAGTAATGGGTTAATAAGACAGAGTTAGCCAATAAGAAGCTCTAGCCACCAGTCAATAGATTTCTAATTAATATAAAAGTCACTAAGTGTTCACTTGGGGCTCAAGGGCTGCTGGATCAGCTGGGCCAGAAAACTCATGATTACAGGACTGTTTATACTGAGGACATCAACAACTTACAAGTCTCAGTGAGTTCCTGAAACTTAAAAGATTCACAAAGCCTCACAAAGCTACCTTTGAGTCATCATGCTGTTATAGGTAACCCCTCACCATTACTCCTGTAAGTAATCACAGTAAACTCATCAGCTCACCATTCTCTACTTCACTGCAGTAGTTACGCTGCTGTGGCCCTGGGGCGGATCTGTGGGTGTTTTTCAAGTTCCCTGAAGAAAAGTCACACAACAGATCCTGAGCAGTCACCACAGAGGTGACATCATTCCCTACCTTTGTGACGCATCACCAGCCTGTGAGTGTTGTGAAGCAGAGTGTGACCTATCTCTGGCATACGGGCTTGCCCTGCGAGGCCCAGAAAGTCATGTGCTATGTGATCGGTGAGTGAGCAAGAATGGTTGCTGCCCAGAGCCTCTTGCTCAGGAGTTACATTTACTTCCAAAATCAAATCCCACCTTCCTGCAAACATAGCAGCTCAAAAAGTATGAGAGTCCACACAGGAGCATGATGTCTGTCTGTCTGTATACCCTGGCCTGGCTGAGAACTTACTGTGGGAACAAGAGACCTTGGCCACAGGCCCACTTCCCCATCAGCCTGGGAGCAGGCAGCTGTAACCGAGCACAGAGAAAACATGTTTACTAAAAACAATCCAGTGCCTGTAATCACAAAGAAAAACATGTTTACCAGAGCAATAAGTTCCTGATGAGGGCTCACCCACGGGAACACCCTGACCTTTCCAATGACTAACCGCCTCTTCCTGACCCCCCACTGCCGCCTCTGGTGTCAGGGTATATAACCAGCTGGGGATAAGAATAAAGCTAAGCCTTCTTTCACCACCGACTGGTCTCTTGTCATCAATCCCGACACCCTCCGTAGATTCTCCACCTCAGGCTGTGAGCGGGCGCGGCAATTGGAGGTCCCACTGAGATTTGAACTCAGCTCACTGGATTCAGAGTCTAGAGTGATTAACTCACCAGCACAGACTGGACTCATCTTAACCATCTGCATGGCTCAGTCTTCTCCGAACTTCTGATGTTGCAGCCTTGTGCCCCTATGTCTGGCAAAATAAGACTATGTGTATGAGTGGCGTGGGGGATATATGTGATGTATGTGTGTGTGTGTGATGTGTATGTGTGGGTGGGTGTGGTGTATATGTGTGCCGTGTGTGATGTGCATGTGTAGGTGGGTGTGATGTGTATGTGTGGGTGGGTGTGGTGTATATGTGTGCCGTGTGTGATGTGCATGTGTAGGTGGGTGTGATGTGTATGTGTGATGTGTGTGTGACCTATATGTGATGTGTATGTGCCATGTGTGGTGTGTATGTGCCATGTGTGATGTGTATGTAGCATGTGTGTGATGTGTATGTGCCATGTGTGATGTGTGTGTGATGTGTGTGATGTGTATGTGCCATGTGTGATGTGTGTGTGTGATGTGTATGTGCCATGTGTAATGTGTATGTGCCATGTGTGATATGTATGTAGCATGTGTATGATGTGTATGTAGCATGTGTGTGATGTGTATGTGTGTCATGTGTGATATGTATGTGGCATGTGTGTGATGTGTATTGTGGGTGTGCCCACCAGTGAGTGCACATGTGAAGGTGTCTCTAGGCGTCTTCCTGTGTTACCCTCCATCTCATTTCTTGAGACAGCGTCTTCACTGAACTTGAAGCTTGTCATTGTCCCCTGTCCTTAGTGCTGGGTTTATAGGGTGGGAAAGCACACTCGGCTTCTCTGTGGGGTCTGAGATCCACACACAGATCCCAGGAGATCCACACACAGATCCCATGCTGGTGCAGTAACCACTCCTACCCGGGGCACCATCTCCCTAACCCCAGAGTTTTCTTTCTTTCTTTTTTAATTTTTATTTTTTATCTTTGGTTTCTCAAGACAGGGTTTCTCTGTGTAGCCCTGGCTGTCCTGGAATTCATTTTGTAGACCAGGTTTGCCTCAGACTCTC